GGAGGAGGAGGAGGAGGAGAAGAGGAGGAAAGGAGGAGGAGGAGGAGGAGGAGGAGGAGGAGAGGAGGAAGGAGGAGGAGGGGGACGAGGAGGAGGAGAAGAAGAGAACAAGAATACGAAAGGAGGAGGACGAGGAGAGGAAGAAGAAGAAGAAGAAGAGGAAGGAAGGAGGTGGACCACAATGGCGACAGCAGCTTCACAGGCAGCGACGGCGGGGAGCAACGACGGGGAGCAACGACGGGCAGCTCGACGAGGAAAAACAGTGACGACGGGTGGGCTTCGCGATGGCAGCAACGACGGGCGGGCTTCACGACGGCAGTGACGACGGGCGGCTTCGTGACGGCAGCAACGACGGTCGTGGCCACAGGGAATACCGCGTTTGAATTCGAATGCGGGGTCGTAGCCCACCAGAGGGGGAAACCATTTCTTGGCGGCTGATCTCAGCTGCCAATCTTTGCAGATCGGCGGCTGGGATCAGTCGCCGAAGAAGACGTCCCCCCCTCAGAAACAACTAATCGTAGATCCAAAAAAGAAAAACTAGTGTTGCTGGAGGCTGGGTAGGCTACCGCTAGGCGACAAAGGCCTCCCCCCCATCACCGCATGAAATTGCACTGGGCTCGCCTGGCCCCAAACCGGGGGACCCAACCGACCGGGTTGCCCTCGACCCCTGCCGGACCAAGGCCGGCCACCGGACGGCCCAGATTTTAACACAGCTTTTTTCACATGGGGATGTGGCAGCTTGCACTCAACTACATCATTGTGGCGAGCCTTGTACATGACAGGCACAGTGAAAAGGGGAGCTGAAAGAAGAAATAAAAGAGAAACCGCAAAAAAAAAACTCAAGTAAGGAAAGAGAAGGAAGAACTGCACAGGAAGAGGCAAAGTAGCTGTTTCTGTGTGGTCCACATTGTCTGCTATTTCTTGTTTGCTTCACGGAGTGCGTGGTGACTGTCTAACAGACACAGGTCCCCGAACACACTCACTCACACACTCAAGCAATGCAGCACACTCTCACACCCAACTGCTGCAGCACACTTACTCTCTCACATGCGCACAAACCACCGGGCCCACTCACTCACTCATTCATACGTACACAGACCAGTTGGTGTACCCGCACAACAGTGGTGGCACTCACTGAATGGCTGAGACTGCAATCAGACTTGACTCTGGACTTGCTTGCAACATGCACACTTGAGAACCGATGGCAAAATCGAATTCTTCCTACTCAGAAACAACAATAACCTTGTATTACACTCAGTCCGAATCAACTGTACAACTTGCGGCTATGACCGCCGAACACCGTCTCTACCACCAGCCTCACTTCCCCACACTCTCGCATGCACGCACGTACGAGGATCACCCTGAATGTCCACACTGCACAGCCACTCACACTCTGTACAATCTGTCTGCACCAACAGCTGGGCGGCTATGGCCGTCGTTGTCTTCCTCCTTCTAGCTATGGCGGCCAGTGTCTTCCTCACTGGTTCGCTATGGACACTGTCTTCTTCACAGCCCACTTCCTCTCCGGGCACCTGCAGACCTCCACGCACAAGATACCAAGTCAGCTCTTCCGCATGGCTCACAGGCGAATGCATGAATGGCTGGACGCTGCCTCTTTATTTATACTTCTTCAGAGGTACCCGGGTCCTGCCTCAAAACGTGTGGGCCTGGGCCAAAACGTGTGACCCAGGGAAGCTTACAGACGTTTGGCCTTCTAGCCAAAACGTGTGGAACCCACAGCGTGGTCCAGAACCTTCCCCACGAGCAGCCCCTACCCCAGGTACCTGCTGACTGGACTTGCCTACAGGGACCTACGACCTTCCAGAGCCCACAGACTTACAAACAGACTCTAGGCCTCACTAGACTAAGATAGAGACTTCTAGAACAGACCTTCCTAAGCCTAACGGTAACAGACCTAACTCCTAATCTACAGACCTAGGGATCGAGTCTTACACAGATCACTGGGCCTAGGTACAAGGTAAAGGGTAGGTCTAGGGATCGAATCTCACTCAGCACACAGGGTCAATGTACAAGGTACAGGGTAGGTATAGGGATCAAATCTCACTCAACACACAGGGTCAATGTACAGGGTTTGGGCACAGGTCTAGGGATCGAATCTCTGTGTCTGCAAATGTCGGGTCTGCTGGGTGAAACCATTTCACTCCCGCCGTCCTAAATTCGAGGTCCTCCGAGAACACTCTAACTCAAGGTAGGACCTTTGCCCTTTCTTTCCCTCTCATAGGCGTGTACTATGTCGGGAGCAGTTTCTAGAAGCTTTGTTCTTGTAAACCATCAGTCGTCCTTGGGTTCCTGGTATGCGAACCTAACCTTATACTGTTTTTGGGGATGGCCGCGACCTCCAGTCCTGAACACGAATTCTTCCACTATGTGATCTATGTCATATGCACCATTCATGTCTGGCGGAATCATTGATCTTCGGGAAGGAAATCTGTCAGACGTGGTGCAAGGCAGCAACTTAGACGCATTGAAGACTGGGTACGTGTGGAGGTGTGCTGGGGTTTCTATTGTATAAGACGGGCCATCCTCTCCTCCCTTGACTTCTAGGACAGGCCATGGTCCTCTATACGCAGGTAGGAGCTTGTGCGAGATGCTTTCCTCTGGTGCAAACTCCTTTGACTTGACCGAGACTAGATCGCCTACCTGGAACTGTGAAGGTCGGCGGTGCTTGTTAGCTTGCTCTATCGTTTGATGCTGGGCCTTTCTGAGATTGTCTATAACCTTAGCGACTTCCTGCTCGTGCTGCAACGCGACTCTCGTGTGTCAGGTGGTAGTCTCTATATCTGGTCCTGGTTTAGTCCCTCAAATGGGCGCCTAGGTCGAAAGGACTTATGTAGCTCGTTAGGAGTCCTGCAAGTAGCCAGGTGAACACTGTTATTGTAGACACTTGCTACCTTGGGAAGCATCTCATCCCAGTTTATCTGATTTGGTCTAATATACATTCTGAGTAGCTGTTGCAAAATCTTATTCATCTGCTCTGTGTCCATTAGTCTTTGGGTATCGTCCTGAGGACATCAACAACTTAGACCCATAAACTTTCATAAGATCCTCCCAATTCTGACTAGTAAACCGCGTGTCCCTATCACTAACTATGGACAGCGGCATGCCATGCTCGCTTACCCAGAAGTCGAAACGTGCCTCTGAAGGTAGGGGAACAAACACTGCATACTTACTAAATCTATCTACTATGACCATGACTTGAGTTTTGACGTGCCTACTTTTGACCCCAATATCCATAAAGTCGATGGACACTGAAAATCTTTGAGTCCTAATGGAATAGACAAGGGTCTAAGAAGACCTAACGGGGCTCTGGTTGTAGTTCTATTTCGCTGACATACCTTGCAGCTGCGCACATACTCTATGCAATCTGCTTTCATGTCTGGCCACGTATATGACATCATCAGGTTAGCTAGAGTCTTTTGCCATCCGAAGTGCCCTTCTGTATCGTGGCATTCCCCTAAGATCAGGCTGCGGATCTCTTCGCTATTGGGGACGCATAGTCTGTCATCGACATTGGTCTTCTCAAACAGTAGCCCGTTCGGGGTTCGGTAGTGCGACTCGCTATCTGGGGTCTCCCTTACTCTCTTCATCAATTCACTGCAGATTGGATCCTGAGCATATGCATCCGTGATCTTTTGCTGCAGGTCTGCCCCTATGTCTAGATAGTGCACTATCGCGCCGAAGTAATCAACTCTCCTACTCAGGGCATCAACTACCACATTGTACTTTCCTTTAACGGGCTTCAACTCAAAGTCAAACTGATCTATCTCAGCAGCCCATCTAGTCAACTTGGGAGTCATCTTGGCCTGAGTCTTTAGCCATCTAAGAGTCTCGTGATCAGAATATACCTTGAAGTGCCTCCCAAGCAGGTATTGCTTCCAGTGGTCTAAAGCCTGCCTGACAGCGTAGAGTTCCCTCTCATATGTCGATGCTGCAACTTTCTCTGAGGGCAGGCTGGCTGACATGAACTCTACGGGCCTATAATCGTTGCCGTCATCTTGCTGTAGGACGGCACCTATGCCATATTGACTAGCGTCTGTAGTGACGACAAATGGTAATGACGGGTCAACAACTTTGAGGACAGGGTATTCTATTAAGGCCTTCTTTAATTTCTTGAAGGCTGACGTACAATCCTTGTCCCACTTCCAGATAGTCTCTTTCTTCAGCAACCTACGAAGGGGAGCAGCGATCGTGGAGAAGTTCCTTACGAACTTCCTGTAATAGTTAGCCAGTCCCAAGAACAAACGCAACTCTGTCAGTGTCGTAGGAGTCGGCCAATCTCTAATGGACGCAATCTTGTTGTCCTAAGGTCGAATGCCGTCGTCGTCTAGTACATGGCCTAGGTAAAGGACCTGTGTCTTGGCCCATTTGCACTTCTTCGGATAAGTTAGACTCTCTTAGCTTACTTAGGATATGTCGTAGATGACCGTCATGTTCCTCGAGGGTCTTGCTGAATACTAAGATATCGTCTAAATAAACTATGACGAATCTATCTAGCCACGGTATGAACAAGTTGTTCATGCAGTGCTGAAATGTAGCTGGTGCGTTAGTAAGTCCAAACGGCATTGCTATGAACTCGTAATGCCCGTACCTTGTCCTAAACGCCGTCTTATACTGATCGCCAGGGTGCACTTCTATCTGATGGTATCCTGACTTTAGATCTGTCTTTGAAAAATACTTACATCCCTGCACGCGATCTAGCAAATCGTCTGTACGTGGCAATGGCTCTGCATTCTTAATGGTGATGGCGTTCAGTCCCCTGTAGTCTATGTACATACGTAGTTCTCCTTCCTTCTTTGGGACAAACAGAACAGGTGCACCAAACGGTGCTGAGCTAGGCCTGATCCACCCTTTCTCTAGGAGCTCATCTAATTGTCTGCGAAGCTCCTCTAATTCCTTGGGAGACATTCTATAGACTGCCCCCTTAGGCGTTCTACCGCCAGGTTCTATCTCGATTCGGCGCTGAATCGGTCTGGGCACTATTCCCGTGGGTGCTTCAGATAAATCCTTGTATTCCTCCAGCAGACTGGCAATAGTAGGATGGATCTTCTCCTCTTCCTTTGGCTGATCAGAAATTGGCCTAACATAGGCTAAGAACACTTGCTCTTCGAGCTGCTCCTTCCGCACAAGTCTGGCGAATGCAGGAGCACTGAGGCAGCAATGGGCAAGGGGATTATCTACCTCGGACTCATGGCACAGGCGGACTTGCTTGACTTTGCCTGACACGCTAGGGAGCCTACATTCGTGCTCTCTGAGGTGCAATGTGGCTCCTGCTGCCTTTCCCCAATCCGTACCTAGAACAATGTCAAACGGGAGACTCTCTTCTACGAGGAGGGTCAAGGAGTGCATCAACGCGCATCCTGCTACTGTCTGCAAGGATGCTGACTACAGGTTTCTCTAATCGCTAGGCTCTTAGATTTAGCTTCAACTTCTTCGGCGCTTTACGACTGATGTAACTACTAGTCGTCCCACTGTCTATCAGGGCTCCTACTCTGGCTCTAAAAAATTCTACATCTGCGAGGATAAGTTGTCCTTTCCCATTCTTCTTCATCTTGGCCCAGACTTGCCTCCTCTTTCTTAACTCCTCGGCTAAGCCTGTGAGGGAAGCTTCTAGAGAGACCCTGACACAAACAGTCTCTGGACAACTTACTAGACGCTGGCCTGCACCCTCTGCCATGGAGATATGTGGTGTGGGAGACTCTACTTCGCGCGCATACTCAGATCCACATACTCCTGGGGTAGGGGTAGTTGCGACCCCTACCGGCGGCTGTCTTTTGCTGCCCCAGACGCAGCTCGGTCCCTATACCTAGGACAAAATTTGATAATGTGGCCTGGGTCCCCGCAGAATACGCATTGAGAGTTGTTAATGCGTTCTTGCCATACTTTTTGATCTATACCCACATCTAACCAGGGTTGGCCTTCGGGCCGGCTTGGGTGCCACCTTTCCTGTTTGGGGGGTGACCGACTAAAACGCGGACGGTTAGGCGGGGGAACCCCCCTTCCTCCCTCTTGGCGGTTGCCGTTGCTGCCAACCCCCTGGCCGCCTTGTTCTCGGCCACCTGGGGCCCGACCATTCTGGCCAGACCATTGTCCTCCTCCTTGTGGCCTCCCTCCGGCCGCAACAGCAACGTAGGTTCTCCCGAGGCCCGCGCTACTGTCCTGTTCCTCCAGTCCCAACTCGATGTCAGAGTAGGGAACCTCATCGGCACCACCTTCCTCCGTTGTTAGGATCAGGCTGTCTTTGGCCTTAATTTGGCCGGAGATGGTGCGTCCCTTCCACGTTTTTCCCTGTGACAGATCTTTATGCCAGAACGTGGTAACTGGCGACGCTTGGGCGCAAATGCAACTGCCTCCCGACTAAGCGTATCGTAAGTTATACCTTGCTGATTCTTCTTCTCAAAGAAATGTCCCTGAATGTTGTCAGGGAGGGCATGATAGAAGAGTTGGATTAGCTGAGCATCGGTTACTCGATCCCCAGGAACAACAATTAGTTCATCCATACAATACTTGATGGCGTGCACACTCTTCCACTTCCACGTGTGGATCATTTGTAACTTATTGGAGGCTTTGAGGCCCCGCGTCACATTTGAGAATCGCTCCCTGAGTGATTTCAGGAACTCAGAGAGGGGTGTAAGTCTCGAATGTGTAACCATATCGTTCTCACAGTTCGCAGCGCAGGCTAGTGACCTAGCAAAGCTAGTCGCCTCGTCTCTAAGGGCCTTGAAGGCCACCAAAACGTGGTCCTCAGACGTGACTCCCTGTAAGTACAGGTAGGAGTGCACGTTGGCCTCCTAGTTATTGAAATCCTCACCCTTCTTTCCACTGAAGGGTTCAGGAAAACGGACCTTGACCTTCTCACGACGTGGTGGGGATGGCTCCTCTTCCTTAGGAGTCGCCAACTTGGCGCCTTCAATGGCGCCAGTGCAGAACTCTCGAGTCTTACTAATTGCGTTATGGACTTCAGCCAGTAAGTATTTCATCATGTCACTTGCGAAGTCTTTGAACCCAACACGCATTGCATCTACCTTTACTTCTAAGCTGCGGATATATTGCGCTTGTTCGTGGTGTGCAGTTAGTAACGACTCTACACTTTGAGTCAGGGTGTTGAGTTTAGTGGCTAACTCCGTCTCTTCCCTAATTTTCCCCATCTTGGACTCCGCAGCTTTCAGATCCTTCTCTGCCCTTTCCGCCGCTTCCAATCGCCTTACCCTCTCTTGGGACAGCCGGTATCTCCATGCCATTTGTTGTTCTTCCTCCTTCGCCCTTCTCCTCACCGGGTCCCTTTTTGTCTCAATCTGCCTCCTTGCCGCTTCTCTTTCTTCCTGGGGTATGGCCATCTCGGCCTCCCTGTCTTCCCCCAACTCTAAATGTGCAGCCCACTCTTGTGCAATCCTGGCAATCTCAATTTCTTTGCTTGTGCTGGCTTCCCCTCTCCTTCTCTCCAATGGCTCTTCTTCCTCTACTTCTTCCTCCTCTTCTTCTTCTTCTTCTTCTTCTTCTTCTTCTTCTTCTTCTTCTTCTTCTTCTTCTTCTTCTTTCTCCACCTCCTCTTGTATTGTCGCCATCTTCGCCTCCTGCTCCTTCTTCAACTCCTCCTCCAACTGCTTCTTCTTGGCCTCTTGCTCCTCCAGCATGGCCAGCATCTTGGCCTGCTTAATCAGTTCCCTCTTCTCCATTCTCTCCTTCCTCTCTCGCAGAATACCGGCAGCTCCCTCTTCTTGCTCCTTACTATAGGGGGTGGTACTAGTCCCAGACCTGAGGTCCACCATGGTGACGGTGCACAATCAAGAATTCTGCGCCTCAACACCTAGACCAAACAGGTTAACTTCTATTGAGGGGTCTTGACTCACTACTCGGGCTAGACTTATGGTTTTATGACCACATACACAGAACCCTGCCACCCGGACAGAAGTGACAGGGAGATAGGACTGACTGACTTTGACAACCCTAACATCAGCAGGTACCAAGGTGAAGGTGCACATCCACGGGGTAAGGGGATAGGCCCGGGCTTGGAGGGATGATACCGGTAATCTTCTCACTCCAGCTGGGTCGACGCTCCGGTCAACGGTCTTGGTCAACTCGCCGGTCAACGCTCCTGGTCAACGCTCCTGGTCAACGCTCCTGGTGAATGCTCCTGGTCAACCCTCCTGGTCAATGCCCTGGTTGACTTCGGTCAACGCCTGGTCAACACCCTTGGTCACTCTTGGTCAACACCCGGTCAACGTTGGTCAACGTTGGTCAATGTTGGTCAACTCCCCCGGTCAACCTTCCAGCCTTCGGCTATGGTGGACCTTCTTCTTCGTCGTCAAAACCTTTGTCTTTTCCACCTTGGCTATGGCTGACTTCGTCTCCCTCTTCGTCACCTTCTTCTTCCTTCTCTCTGCGTCTCTGTCTTTCTTCTTACTGATTGTCGTCTTTCCCGAGCTTGGCAGCTATGGCTGCCGTCCCCCCTTCTCCCTCTTTCTCTCTCTCTCTCTCTCTCTCTCTCTCTCTCTCTCTCTCTCTCTCTCTCTCTCTCTATTTCTCTCTGCCGAGCTCTGGCTATGGCGGCTCCTTCCTTCTTCCAACTCGCTGCTGCAGCTCCGCCGGCGTGGGCAATGGGTACCAGCTTCGATACCAATCCAATCAGACTTGACTCTGGACTTGCTTGCAACATGCACACTTGAGAACCGATGGCAAAATCGAACTCTTCCAACTCAGAAACAACAATAAACTTGTATTACACTCAGTCTGAATCGACTGTACAACTTGCGGCTATGGCCACCGAACACTGTCTCTACCACCAGCCTCACTTCCCCACACTCTCGCATGCACGCACGTACGAGGATCACCCTGAATGTCCATGCTGCACAGCCACTAACATTCTGTACACCTTGTCTACACCAACAGCTGGGTGGCTATGGCCGTCATCGTCTTCCTCCTTCTAGCTATGGCCGCCGGTGTCTCCCTCACTGGTTCGCTATGGCCGCTGTCTTCTTCACAGCCCACTTCCTCTCCAGGCACCTGCAGACCTCTACGCACAAGATACCAAGGCAGCTCTTCCGCATGGCTCACAGGCGAATGCATGAATGGCTGGACGCTGCCTCTTTATTTATACTTCTTCACAGGTACCCGGGCCCTGCCTCAAAACGTGTGGGCCTGGGCCAAAACGTGTGACCCAGGGAAGCTTCCAGATGTTTGGCCTTCTGGCCAAAACGTGTGGACCCCACAGCGTGGTCCAGAACCTTCCCCACGTGCAGCCCCTACCCCTGGTACCTGCTGACTGGACCTTCTAGAGCCTACAGACTTACAAACAGACTCTAGGCCTCAGTAGACTCAGATAGAGACTTCTACGACAGACCTTCCTAAGCCTAACGGTAACAGACCTAACTCCTAATCTACAGACCTAGGGATCGAGTCTTACACAGATCGCTGGGCCTAGGTACAGGGTAAAGGGTAGGTCTAGGGATCGAATCTCACTCAGCACACAGGGTCAATGTACAAGGTACAGGGTAGGTCTAGGGATCGAATCTCACTCAGCACACAGGGTCAATGTACAAGGTACAGGGTAGGTCTAGGGATCAAATCTCACTCAGCACACAGGGTCAATGTACAGGGTTTGGGCACAGGTCTAGGGATCGAATCTCTGTGTCTGCAAATGTCGGGTCTGCTGGGTAAACCATTTCAGTGACAATCACTTACTCAGCTCCACCATACACTCACCCACACACGTGGTGGACCTTGCAACTCTCAGAATACAACAATCAAACGGGTGTCTCATCAAATATTGGCAACCACTGAATTATCCAAACATTACAATCATTTAAAATATCACATATAACTTGATAGAAGAGATTCAAATGAGAGGGAGGAGGTTAGGATAGGAAAAAGTGGGGATAGGTGTACAAGTGCGCGAGTGGAAGGGGAGGGTGGGAAGGGAGATAAATCAGAAATGAAAAAGCCGGGTTACTATACACAGACTGTAAGGAACTAGGGGAGCTTGTGAGTATCAAGGGCATAGCAAAAGATAGGCAACAGCAACATGCAATGCGAGGCCAAGCATGAGGCATACGACGAACTGCAGTATGTAGCAACAAGGTAGGCAGCAGGCAAAGTATCTGGATGTTAAGCAAACTGCAAGGGGACACTGAGATAGTACCGCTGAGTAGAAGGTAGGGATAATGATAGAGGAATGGATACTCAGCTAGAGCTTGGACACTGGCTGGCCGGTGAGGCTGCCAGGCGGCTCTTCCCCAGAACCCGCGCCCCGCCATTTACAGGATTCACATGCTGCGTGTCTGGGTGCTGCCAGTAAGCTTCCCGGCCAGCAAGTGCACCCTGCAAATGAGTCCCCCTTGTGTAAGCGACTAGAGCTGCAAGGGTGGCTGCATCTGAATCTTGTCTGATGTACTCTTTCTTTCCTTTTCCAGCTGTATCTCATCTACATTTTGCTTGCCGGTGATGAGCAACCGGACTGATGCCCCCCAGAATAGATGGGGTGTTGTTTATTAAAAAAAAAAAAAAAAAAAGAGATGGCATGTTTCAAGTTTAGATCTGGTACAAGTCTGTAAGTTAACGACCGTGGCAGACTGGGTCCGATCTCCTTTGAGGACCTCGTTTTCTTCAATTTGCCTACGTTATCCCTCAGTGGAGACCGGCCAGTAATGTTGTCACACAGACAGAGACACAGACAGAGACACAGACACACACACACACACAACCAAAAAACTGTCTAATTATAAAATTGCTTTAATATGTTGGACATCTCAAATGCTCTCGTTGTCTGCAATAGGACAAAGACTGCTTTGATTCTGAATCTATTCACCTGGGAGGAATTGGGGCTGTTGTGGGGAAAATCTAAAACACACGTTCCGGTCTTGCTAGCTCTCTGCTCTTGTGGATTGAGCGGCTAGGGTCGGACCTGTACTAGCAGGTCACACTTAGGTTAAGCTGGATGTGCTTTATAGCTCTTCTGACTACCACATGCTTTTCTGATTTTTCCAACATGCTTGGCCCGGATAAATGCAAGGGCTTCTCCAACTCTGATGGATTGAACGCTTACTATGCATTGAACATGTGCCGGTACATAGATATGTCTCCCACCCAGAAATACGAGTATGTCTTGAGTCCGTTGTCTGTCTCGTTTGGTGCTGTGATTTCGTTATGTTATAGTTTGAACTAACTATATTGCTTTTGCCTTGTCTATGTGGCTGACCTCTTGGTTTTGTTTCAGAAGTCTTAAGTCCTGTGGTGGCGGTCACCGTAAGGGCGCGGTTTCTTTCCCTTTCCTTCCGTGCAGTGAGTATAGTTAGCTCCCCACCCAAGGTGTGCCAGTCTCAGGTGCGGAGTACTCCTACTCATCTCACCCTTGCAGGACGTTCTCCTTGATATAAACCTTGTACACAGAGTTCCAGGTGATGATCGGGCACTCCTTCCTAACAGAATAGCTAGTCCTGCTGTGCCCGGCGTCTAGGGCGGTTGCCCAGAGCACACTCACAGGTGGAGGCATTCTGTGTACTAGCCGAGTCATCGCTTAGGAGACATTGTGGCGAGTGCCTCCTGCAAGGGACGTCGGCAGCCTCCCCGTGCTGAGCTGGCGGGCCTAAAACCCTGGACCGAGGCTTTACCCTTATGCTACACTCCCTGTTTCTACCTTTTGAAGAGAATTTCCTGATTTTGAAAATACCATACCTATGATGTCAACAATACAAGGTGAGAATCAGGAAAGGGACTTGAACGGGGATTCCCGTGCTAGTGGCGCAGCACGAATCACACGCCCTCCTCTCTATGGTAAACCCCCTTGCTCTTCCTCTCATCACCGCTATGCACGACAATGTAATAGAGTTGATTGGGTTGCACATCATGATTGGAACACAAATCTTTATGACGCGGGGCATTGGTTTAAAAGGCGACTCCGCTACGTAGCAGCTGCAGCCCAGGCGGAACAATTTGAACTGCAATTGCGAGGCATCGATCAGAGCCCCATTCAGCCATTAATGGATACTCTTTCAGCCCCTAGGGTTATTTATGCCATTATCCACATACCATCTGGTCACACATATGTTGGGCAAACCACATACTCTGCTCACTATCGTCTGCAACAGCATTGCCACTCCCGCTATTTATCTCAAACAACTCACCCACGCCATTGTCATCTCTACCACTCCATGGCTAGGCAACCGCCATTTCATTTTATTGTCTGGCCCTTGGAGTGCATAGACCCTCATCTCTACTTAAATGTTGATGGTTCCATTGATCCTGAATCATTTAAACGTGCGGCTTCCCCTCGTGAAGGGTTTTGAGCCCGGCGCCTGACTACCTTATACCCTCGGGGCTTCAACGACGTCCTTCCACAAGGACGACGACCGCCTATTAGGCGATGATCTCATCGTTCGAACAGGTGGGTTCGGTCGAGAGGTAGTCCAAATCCTCCTACGACTCGCCCCGCAACACATTTTCATGCAGACACACCCTTCACGATTGTACTACTCCAGGTCCATTCTACACTGTCAGTTCTACCCTAGATCGCATGCTTACACAAGCAGCCAACTCAGAATGGCAATCTATTTCTCGAGCCCTCTCCCAAGCCACCCCTGCTTGGCGCTCCAGCTTGCTGCAATGGTTGCAAACAAATGTCTCAAACTCCGAGCTCACACCTAACATTCGTCAACTGGAGAGCATGATCCGTGGTCTACAGTATTCAGGGCAGCCATACTGCAGCGCTGCACATGATAGGGTTCCGTTCCTAAATTTCATTAAGGTCATGCACGTGCATCAGGTTGCTCACAACACACAGTTACGGAGCGTCTCTCGACTTCCAGAGGTCGCTGAATTACATCCACGGCCTGCTCTTGCCAATGAAATACGTATCTGTGACAA